ATAGATATGCCAACAGCTCTGCAGCCCCATGTTTTGCTGGTTACTTACAGTTGCCACAGGGCCGGCCTCCGTGCCACTCCTGCCCCGTATCTGCCCAGCAGCTCCGGCCCCTGGCTGCGTATTCGCTCCCGGCCTTGGAGAAGTTCCCGACTTGGGACCCATAGTAAATGCTCTGGGTTCCCAATCCGTTGAATCCGCCAACATGGGAGTAGCCGGGCAAAAGGGCGCTGTTGGGCGCAGCCAGTGGCCTGCTCAGGATGTCGCTGATGCCGTGCGGTGTGCCGGCTGCCAGCTGGGCACTGAGCCCCGAAGGGCTGAGCTTGTAGAAGGAGTTCTGCACCGAATACTGGCACATGGGTGCCTTGACTTCCGGGAAAGAGGCAAGGGAGGCATTGTTGAGCAGGAAGGTGCCCTGCAGATTGGAGTCCATTGCTGTGCCGCTTGCTGGCTTCGGATGGCAGCGTAATCTAGGCTTCTTCCAGGAGGGCACCGTGCGCTGGCAGTGCCATGCTCCTAAAGCCACGGGGGTCTTCTTGGTGCTCTGGCTCAGCAGGACCTCCTTCGCTGGCACCTTGGCTGTGGCGCAAGTCCATTGGGTGCCCGGCTAGCAGACGTCCCCATGCCCAAGCAGACTCTGAAGCCAAAGCTGGTCGGTCACCAAGTTGAACTTCAAGGGGAGCTACCTTTCCCCGGATAAGAGATGGGGCTCATTAGAATGCCGGCCCTCGGATAGGCTGGTGCGCCGGGTGCCCGGCCTCCTCCCATGGGGCTGGCCCAGGGCAGGACCTGGATTGGCTGCTCCCAGATAAATTACCCTCTGAGAGATCGACGGTCAACACCACCAGAACCTTAACGCTTGGGTGGCGCTGGAGTGAATAGACGGAGCCTGCCATTGCCTTGGATGGGTGATGGATTATGGAGCGGGAGGGGTGTGCATATATGTATGCGTGTGTGCGTGTGTTTCAGAGAGAGAGAGAGAGAGAGAGAGAGAGAAGGCAACTCTGCAGCATTGTAGTAGACGGACTGAATATCGGAAGGACCTTGGACGGGGAAACTGGATGAGGCAGTCGCTTCACACAACTGATGTGCTTAGTCAAGATGGGAGGGAAGGGAGAAGCAAAGAGGATGGCGGCCAATCCACTGGGAAGGTCTCGTGAAAAGCTTTGTGAAAAGTAGGCCTGGGTAACAACGGAAAAATTTGTTTCTAAACTCGATTCGTTTTTTGGG